TATATATATATACACACACACACAGTTTTTAATTACACAATTTATTAAAAATTACTTTTTCTCTTTCAGTTATTTGTAGATTAAAAAATTATGATAAAAATTAAAATATAAAAAATATTGTCAAATACTGTAATAAGTTATGTGTGTACAATATGTACAATATGTGTGTGTGTACATATATATATAGTAATTTATTAAATCATATATAATTATATATAATACAAATGTATTACATTATATATATAATTAGAAATTATGTCAGCTCAGGAAACAATTGCCAAAGGAGCATATATAAAATGAGTAGATATATTTATATTTATATGTATAATAAATCTATCTATATTTTAAAAATATTAAGAATTGAATAATAGCATATTATTAAAATGCAATCTACATAGAACTGCAAGAGGAAATGTAATTTAGAATAAATGATCAAATTATTTCAGCTAAAAGTGCTTTAAAAGCATAAAACTAGATATATTTACATTTTATATGTGTATGCTATAAAAAGTTGTTTATTTTAAAAACAGAAAAATAAAATAAACGATTATTAAAATGCAATCACACTGAAATACAAGAGCAGAACATTTAATTTATAACAAATTTAAGCAAGTAAATATTAAAAATAATATTTACATATATTCTATAATAAATCTATGTGCGTTGTAAAAATATAAAAAAGGTATTATTAAATATTATTAAAATGTGATCTACAAAGAACAACAAGACGTAAAAGTTAAAATTACATTTTTACAATTTATAATATAAAACCGTGTTATTGCAGTAGACTTAACATCTCTAGCACCTGAAACACTGGCACAATGTGAAAGCATTGCTTCGAATAAAGCGTGAACACGTGTGAGTCTTCAGGAGAAGTTTGGCTTGAAGAGCAGACATCTGTCATCAGCTCTGAGCTTTCAGAAGAGACCAGCGGCTGATCTTAGCTGGATGTGAGAGGATTTAGCTTGCATTTCCAGCAGCGTCAAGACGAACGCATCAGCTTTTCAAGCCTCTGGTGTTGAAGAGAAGAAAGGCTTCATTTAAAGCCTCTCCGTGATTTTATAATTCTTTGGCCTTCGGAATGTAAAACCTCCGGGAAACTGATTAGTCACACTGTTACGACCCTGACAGCGTCATTTCAGCTAAACTACAACTCAAATAACCCATAAACTTCAACCAAACCAAGTACCATTAAATACTGCAATATATGTTTTACAGTTTTTAAATATGAATCTTTTTTTTTTAAGTTTGTGGAGGTAAAATATATGAATTGCATTCGCATATAAATAGTTTAAAGGGGTCATCGGATGCCCATTTTCCACAAGTTGATATGATTCTTTAGGGTCTTAATGAAAACTAAAAATGTCTCAATGGAAGTGTAAAAAACAGCTCCTTTCAGATCAAGCCGTTTTGTAGCATTTTCCTTTAAATGTTAATGAGCTCCGGTGGTGAAACAATGGCGGACTGATGACAGTCACTCAGGACGGAGCTAAGGTAAGACACCAGTCCAGTCTGTGCTGAAACGCTACTGTCAATCAAACTATCGTGGGAGGGGCCTGTCAAAAAAATATTGACAGTCAATCAGAATCCACCTGGCGTCAAATATCTCTTGGTGTGAACTCTGTTGTAGCAGTAATCGCTGACAAAAAATATTGAACTGTTCAAATATTGGCCGACAGCGATGCAGATGATGAGGTTTTGGAACAGATCATAACAAGTACTGTGTATTTGTGCTGATGGCAGAAGAAAAGCTGAAACCAGACCAGAGTTTAATCCTTTTTTTTTATGATATTTTCCTCCTGTGGCAGGTTTAATGTTTTATTCAGAACTCTTTACATAATGAACGTGTTCAGAATTAAGGTGCAAACATCAGCAAACACATCCCAGGTCAGCAGAAGAGCATTTCAGCATGGCAATAATCAGAACATCTTCTATGAAAAAAACAGGCAGGCATCTTTAGTAGTACGGTTCGTGACCTCTTGTTTTCTCTGGCGTATCGCTAGCCTGACCTTTGACCCCCCCTCTCATAGATGCTGGTGCAGCTCCACTAATGGAAGACTTCTCATAAACCCAGCTGACAGCTGATTGGCCTTTCCGTCGATGGATCTGACCAATGAACAGGTCGATCACATTTAAAGGGGAAGGAGCCTGGACTCAAGTAACCAATCAGAAACGTGCTGAGCTGAATCTGGGAACACGGCTGTGTTCAAAATGTCATCCCAGCATACTAATCTGCAGTATATAGTATGCATACCGTGCACAGTATGCAAATGTTCTTATGCATGGCAAGAGCTAAGACATTAACCTAAAGCTGAGCGGCTTATTTATACAGCGCTTTATACAGCACAGATCGTTTCAAAGCAGTAATAACACGACTGGAACAGTGTTAATGTTGCAAAGTTCATCGATTATGAAACCAATTCGATCTCAGTAGACAACAGTGTCATTATTTAGTAACGCTAATTCAGTTTAGGTCACTAAGTGCCAATCTTGCAAAGTTCAAGTAGAGCACTATCCCACAATGCAATGCATTCGACCTTCTATTTACAGTGCGAAAAATGAACTAGACTTTTTCCTCATTATTTTAATGGATGATTAAACATGCAAAACAACAGCATTCATTTCAGACATCTGCTGATCTACACATGCAACATAGTGAAAAAAATGTAGTACTCTACTGTGTGTAACCTATATCATTGCAAGTGCACCATTTCACACACTGTTTTAAAAAAAAGTAAAAATGAGTATATACTGCGCAGTAAGCACTGCGCTAGGACTCCATTCTGAACACAGCCTGCGTGTTAATGAGGAGCGATTAAAAAACACTGAGTGAAGGAAAGCCGGAGCAGTCTATTCTCTGGTTTAAAGTGGTTTAGTCCAGTTTAGTCACTCAGAGGGCAGTATGTGCTTTTGGCAGGATAAAAAAAACCCAATCTCTCGGTTTCAAAGCAGGCGTGCGCTGAAATGAGAGCCGGCTGAATGCAAAATCCCAGATTGTGACATCATTGTCTTGATTACACCACCGTCCCTCTGCTCGATTCTGAGTACATTCAAAACACCACGGGAAAATGTTTTTTCCTCGCTCTTTCGAAATAAAAGAGTTCGCTGTGGATGTTCGTAACATTCGCTGTGCCATTTATTGGCTCAGAAATCGTCATGATTATCATGATTAACATATCACCACCCACATTTACATATCAATACCTGTTCAGTATCAGTACGCTGATGTTCACCAATCATAACAGTGCATGTACATATACAAGTCTTAAAGGTACAGCAGCAAGCGTGTTTCAGAGACGGCAGAAAATGACATTGTTGAACGCTGAGGGGATTTAAAGTAAAATGCTACAGAAGTGTAGAATATGACATTTCATACCGTGGAATGAGATGAAGCAGATCTGTTTCCGTTCCAGTCAGAGCCTATGAGCAGAGCTATTCCTGAACCCTCCAGCCAATCAGAGAGCAGAATTCACAAGCTCCTCCCCCTCCCACCCAGAATAAAAAAACAGAGCAATGATTGGAGGACACAATCGATGAGAGCATTCGATATTAATGAGGTGAGCGATGTATAGCGGTGAGTGAAAGTGCTTTTGGCATTCATAAATCAACGTGTGATCATCGAACATGGCTTTAAAGCTCAGACTCCCCAAAGAAAACACCCTCACGCGTCTCCACGAGCATGTGACGCCAACAGACTCTTGCCACACTTTGCATAAAATGTAAAATCACGTCCTGATTTTCAGATACTCCTAAAATATTTTCACAGGCAAGAATTCAGCCTTTTTTAAATATGTTTTTTTTTTTTTCATGTTACGTCATTAATTTTAGTTTAATTTGATGTTTGTCGATGCTGAAGTTGCTGTTGTTTGTTCGGGTGAAAGAAAGCATTCAGCTCCAGGGGTCACCGTGTGTGTGTGTGTGTATGTGTGTGTACATTTACAGGTCAGTGTGTGTGTGTGTGGGGCTATGAGCCTTCATGATCAGTAGAGTCCTGGTTCAACTCTTTCCTGGTGCCCATAGTGGGAGTTCCTGAGTTTTTCCTGGACTGCTGCTTCTCATCAATATCATGCAGCGACGGCTCCTTATACATACACACTGAGACACAGAGACACAAATACATACAAGACATCATTATTAAACAGCAGGGGTTTAGCAACTAGTGAGGCATTAATACAGTGCAGTTCAAACATCTCAGAGAAAAAATGTTTGCATTATTGTCTAATTTTCATTACAAATTACCAGTATCTAGGTGAAAAATCTGCATGATTTTTTTTCAAAGTTGTCTAATTTCCAAGTTTATATATATATATATATATATATATATATATATATATATATATACACACACACACACACTATGTGAACAGAATTGATCATATGCATATGTAATTGTGTGTAGTTCTGGGTGATGTAGATTAAAACATTTAATATTTTATTCTATTTTATTTAATGTATTTTAATATATTTTCTATAAAATTCTACCTATACACACTCACATATATATACACAGATATATAGATATAGATATACAGATATATAGATTATATAGAATATTATTATTATTATTATTATATATTATATTTCAAGGAAATAGCCAATGATGAGAAATAGATTTGAAATGTTTAAAAAAGCAAAATACAGTAAAAATCTAGTTAAAATAATTGGTTTATGATTTCCACTTTATTTCACTCAATTAACACAAGAAAGAATATTTATATTATTTCAGCTTTATTCATATGTAAATGGTAAATGACCATTTTAATCTACATGGCCTAAATATTTTACTAAAACACTTTAAAGCAATTAAAATGCCATACAAAGAACATTTCGGAATGATGACAAATTCATTCAGTTTAAATTTTTAACTGATTTATTAAAACAAACAGTTTGAAAGAACTATTTCATGTAAATTATTCAAACTTTAAACATTTTAATTGAGTTTGAATATATGCTATTTAAAAAAGCATCTAAAGTCTTCATGGCACAAGTCTACTCTTTAAATGATTAGCAAAATAATAATGAATGTACTGTAAATATTTCATACATCACCCAGCCCTACTTATGCGAGTGTGTGTGTGTGTGTGTGTGTGTGTGTGTGTGTGTGTGTGTGTGTGTGTGTGTGTGTGTGTGTGTGTGTGTGTGTGTGTGTGTGTGTGTATGTGTGTGTGAGAGAGTGGGAGTGAGTGGGAGTGGGAGTGTGTGTGTGTGAGTGTGAGTGTGTGAGAGTGTGAGTGAGTGTGAGTGAGTGTGAGTGAGTGTGTGAGTGGGTGTGAGTGTGCGTGAGTGAGTGAATGTGAGTGTCCGTGTGCGTGAGTGTGTGAGTGTGAGTG